AGGGTTTTGCACATTTTCTGTTAGTCCAATAAACCTCAATTCAATACTGAAATATTACTGTGTAATATAAATGGAGTATCGATATCGAGTCCATGAGAATTATAAGATGTAGACAGCTTTTTTTTTTTTTTTTTTTTTCAGTGTCCTGTCTGGCAAGGTGGCAATAAGAATAATTGTCTTGATGCCAAAAGGAGCCCAACAGATTTTACTTTCACAAGTGTAGCGGTATGGCAATTGCCATACTGCTCCACTTGTTTCATGCATATAAATTGCTTTATTATAATTATGCAGGGAGTTTTACAGTTTATATGGACACTGCAATGTAAGTAGAGCAGAAAAACAGAAGAAGAAAAAGGAAAAAAATTTTCAGTCTGCTTCATCACCTGTAACGAGATGAAAAAAGAACAGCACAACCGAAAGACATGGTACGAGATATACAATAAAGCAACACCTTGAAACTATTGCTAAAGTAATATTATTAAGTCTGACATGTACTCTGTGTTACCTGAAGATATGAATGTGGGGTTTCTGTTTGGAAGTGAATCTCTAAGTACCTGAAGCCTAGCACCTGTAGTTGTTTGTGAGGGTGAACTTGTGCATGTAAAGTTTTAACCATAGAAAAAATGCTCAATAGTGGTTGTGGAGAGCTGAAGAGGCACACCCCCCAGAGCCGGGAGACCCAAAGCCCCAAGCGCCCAAAGGGACCCCAAGAGCGAAGGCACCAAGGAGGGGCCAGCCCCGGAAATCAGACCCCCACCAAGGGAGGAGGAGAGACAGCCACGAAGAAGCCACCGCCATGCCGGCGCCGGCCACCCTGAAGTAGGGCCGGGCACCGAACACCGGCCCCCCCACAGCACCGACCGAAACGCCCCAGCCCCACAGAGCACCGAAACACGCCCCGACCCCAGGGCACCAAGCCCCGGCGACCGGCCGCAACACCCACCGCGACCGCACCACCCAGGAAAAACACACAGGCGGCCCCGCCTGCGGCCAGGGCCAATGCGCATCCGCCGCGAACCAGCCGCGAGCGCCGCGGGACCCCCCCAAAACGCCCCCCTGGCCAAAAGCGCAGCCCCACCCCACCAAGACTGATGCCAACAGCGCGCACTGCAACACAAAGCGCACAGAATCAACCCAAGAGCAGAAAAGCCGCACTGCGCAAAACCGCAAGAAGAGCAGACCGCAGTCGGTGCAAAACCCCCCCACCCCCACCCACCCCCAGCAGCCCGAGGGGCAGCACAAAGCCAGAGCGGAGCAAACCACGGCGCTCCCCCACCGGACGAAGCTAAAGCAGCACAGCCACGTCCGCCGCCCCCGCCCCGCAGCCTGCACCAGGCCCCGACACACGGCCAGAGCAGCTCCGCCACCCTGGCCCCCCGACGCGCGCCGGCCAGAGCCACTCCAACCCCCACCCGCTCCGCAGCCACACCCGCCGCGATCAGCGGGAAAAAAGCAGCTCCACCATGCCTCCAAGAGGGAAAACCCACCCGAATAACCAATCAGCGCAGCCAGCCCGTCCACACCGGCCCCCCAACACCACCCCCGCCGGAGCCGCCCGGACCCCCACCCAGCAGGCCCGACCGCCCCCCGAGAAAACAGACATCCCAATCCCCGAAAAAAAAAAAAAAAAAAAAAAAAAAAAAAAAGGAGCCCCCACAATGCGACAGTGGACACCTGACACCGACCCGCCCGCAACCGCTCCCCCCCACCGAGGAAGAAAAAAAATTTAAAAAATAAATAAATAAGTAAATAAATTTATTTATTAATAAATTAATAATTACAATTAAAAGATGTGTAAGATGTAGACAGCTTTTTAAATTATATAACTAGGCCTATACCCAAATTCCAAAAGTCTAGATATACATTTCAGCAATTAAGACCATAATTATATTTTATCAACAGTAATATTTCATAAGTGTCATAAGAATGACTTCAATTGACTCTTTTTTGCTCTTTTAGTTCTTGATATTGACAACATATTCCTCCCCTACGTTTCAGGTCAGGTACCAGACATTTCCAGATATCTCATAGTTTTTACATACTGAAGAAAATATATATAAATCAATACAAGTTGTACAAACAGGGTTCCTCCATCCATCCATCCATCCATTTTCCTCCGCTTATCCGAAAAACAAAAACAAAAAACAAAAACAGGGTTCCTGTGGATCCTTAAAATGTCTTAAAAGTAATTGAATTCTTTAATATAAAAATAAGGCCTTAATTGGTATTAAAATGTCTTAAATCAGTCTCTCATAGGTCTTAAAATTGTCACCAAGTCATAAATAAGATTTCATTTTTGTAATTCATATCAAAAAGTAAAATAATTCACGATAATTTTTGGATATTTACCTAATGGCTTCGCTGTAACCATTAATAGTTCCATCCTGACAGCAGAACCAATAAAAAAAACAACAACATTGCAAACAGACCTTAGAGTGATGCGCCAATAACTTTTTATCTGGATAATGTCGGGAAGTGTAAATTCATTGAAAATTGGCTATCCAGCCAAGAGTTTTCTGCACGGCTAAAAACAGTACCGAAAAATGTATAAGGGGAATGGCGTATTTTGAGCAAGAAGTCATTCAAGCTCGGCACGATGGGAATCAAAGGTGTGGAGTCAGACATCTGACAGCAGCAGCTATATTTCTCAGTTCTGTTCCATCATTGTCTCTGCAAGGCCTCTACAGCACCTCCAATGTCACAAAAAGCACCAGTAGCACTAAATCTCCGGATAATGTTTGGTGGTTCACCTACAATGAAAGCAGAGCTATTATGGACTTTGAGTCGGGATCAAAACAAAGTTTATGAATTCCATTCATTAGTTGTTAAAATTAGGGCTGCAACAACGAATCGATAAAATCGATAAAAATCGACTTTTAAAAGCGTTGGCAACGAATTTACTCATCGATTAGTTGTGTCGCGCGATTAATGCGTCATCCGCCGCCGCCGCCGTCATCACATCCACTTGACTGAAACTGGGGGAGAGAAAAAAATATGGCGGAGCGAGTCAGCGCCGCAGTTGCAGTGTTGCCAACTCAGCGACTTTTCAGACCCCTCCAGCGACTATTTTTCAAAAAAGCGACTAGCGACAAATCTGGCGACTTTTTTACGGTGTCACTGGCGGCTTTTGGAGACTCTTACGTGAAAGCATGTATCGTTCCTACTCTGCTGTGGGGCACCTCCCCCATCCCAACCCCGTTCTCCCTCTCCCACAGGAGTCCCTCTCAGCGCTGCAGTCAGAGCCGCAGGATTTTAGTGAGGAGTTTATCCTCAGCGTCCAGACTGAAAATGAAGCGCGCATGCGCCGGGATTGACGGTGCAAATTGATCACAATAATTAAAATAGCCTGCGCTTTGTAAAGTGAAAAAAGTCGTAACATGCAACTTTTGTAAAAACAAATGAACATGGCACGGAAGCACCACTGTTATGACGCAGCACCTGAAAAGAAAACACGTTGGAGCCTTCAATGGCAGTGAAGAGAGCTGATCAGCAGGATGAGCGACCATGTTTGTTTTGTTTTAAAGTGGGGAAACATAACGTTAGTTTCTCAGGTAGCTCATCTGATGCTTTCCTTACCGTGTTAGTAGGTTACAGACAGTGATAAGGTTGGCTACTTATTTTACTTTTAATTTCATTTGAATTAGCTTAAGCAGCGTTTATATTTTCTTTATAAATAAATTAACTTGCAAATTATGAGGGCAAGGCTTTTAAAGTTTAAATCTTCTGGCAAAGATAAAGTAAAGAAGATCCTGCAATTTATGGAAGTAAAGCAGAATAAAATCCAGCAAGATCAGTAATATGTCAATTAATTATATGCCACATTCCCATGTAAATATCTGTCTTTGGAGGATGTGTTTTTTACCACCCCTAGTTCTCTCATTTTTATTCCAAATACAATTTATAATTTGAATCACAGGGCTATTTTTATCTCTATGGTTAAATATTTTCTCAAGTAGCATCTTTAACTGCTATACTTTCCTGTCTTAAAAGGCAGAATTCTTCTAGTCTAAAAAAAACTCATTTGTTGAAATGGGGGGACCTATTGTTTGAACCCCTTAGGTGCTTTTAAAAACAAAAATGTCTTTTTTTGCGCTTTATGAAACAAAGTAACCTATATTTTGTGGATGTACAGCTACATTTCTCATGTAAGTTTGCGTAGTTTTAACACAAACATTTATTTTTCATATTGCACCAGTACAGTTAATGAGCAACCTGTACTTGTGTGCTTGTTTGTTCTGTCTAAAATGTTTATTTTGGAATAAAGAGGTTAATATAAAAAATATTTTTTGTCCGATTCATCGATTAATCGAAAAAATAATCGGCCGATTCATTGATTTTTAAAATAATCGTTAGTTGCAGCCCTAGTTAAAATATATATCTGTTATTAGCGTGTTTTAGCTTTCTTCTTATATGGTAAGTTTTTAAAGATTGTAAACATTTCTACTGGAACAGAAAGTAATGGTGTATGTCAGAGGTCTTCAACAGGGGGTCCTTGACCACCAGGGGGTCCACAGAGGTACTGCATGGGGGTTGTGAAAGTTTAGGTTGATTAGACTTTTCTTTAAATACACATTAACATGAATTAAACACACTCTAGTAAACATACAGATAAATGGAGGCAGAAGATGTCTTTCAGTCATCAATGCACACATTCAGCGACACACAGGAGCTCTTTCAAGCTGGGCACCGTTTCATTCACAACACCTGCCCCATCAACCAGGAATCAGAATCAGAAATACTTTAATAAACCCAGGGGGAAATTACTTTTATTACCATATTCCATCTGTAATAGAGTGACTATAGGACCAGTTTGATAGAACATAATTTTATGAAATATATATAATTAGGGGGTCCCCACTCCATCTCACCATCAGTTTGGGGGTCCTTGGCCTTGACAACGTTGAAGACCAGAACGACCATATAAATTTACGTAAACGTACGTCAGGGATGACGGACGTGTCATCTGTCCAATGATTGGTCGGAGTGACCTTGAAGGCGGAGCCACGAGCTGCCGTGGAGGCTGGGAGTCTGCTGACCGGATGGTGACAGAAGTTTTTACTGATAGTCGGCTACTTTCACCATGCTTTAACTCTTAACCCTAACAGATTCATGACTTTACCATTTTTTTTTAACTGTGTCTTTATGAATTAGTTTTTAAAAAGTAACGGCTGTAGGCCCCGGAGCCATCTGGAAACTTTTCCCTCTTTTCCCTTTGGAAGAGTAATCCCAAAAAAGCAAACCAGCGAGTTGTCTGGGATAAAGCCCACAGGGCTCAGCGAGGCGCCGCTATGGGAAACCGGGGGATGGAAGACCTCATTCCCCTCATCAACAAGCTTCAGGACGCCTTCAGCTCCATCGGCCAGAGCTGCAACTTGGACCTGCCGCAGATAGCGGTGGTGGGCGGGCAGAGCGCAGGGAAGAGCTCGGTGTTGGAAAATTTCGTTGGAAGGTCCGTAAACTCCGGTTTTCCGTTTTAATTCTTCGTTTATAACATTCAGCTACTGTTGGTTTGTTTTTAAACATTTCCAAACTTCAATGCTAGAAAAAAAATCCCCTATTAAACTCTTGGCTGTCGGTTCCTCCCAGTTTCTAACGTTTTTCCCCCCTTAAGCTACTTCTTTCCATTCTGGAGCTATTCACAGTTCTTTCCTGCGTAGTTAACGTATAAATACATACATTGATCAGGCAACGGTTAATCTGCCAAATTACCGTAAAACCCGTTCACATTTGACTTTAATAATGGAAGTCTTTGATCAGAAAAGTCAAAAATGACCTCATGTGTGTGTGAGTGATCTAATGAAGGCAGTGAGGGGGCCCCTATCAACCATATCCTGTCAAACATTCACAAAGCCTGCTTTATCATCAAACTGCCTGGCAGTAAACACAGACCTCACGTCACATAGGTCACTGTTTGAATTTCAGGGGTGTGGCACTAAAAGGTCAGTTTGTAGATTTGCTGAGGTCATTGCCAGATAACAGCTTATCATACACTCCCTCAAATAGAAACTGCTGAGAAGTCTTGTGTTTATGCTTTAGGCTGATTAAAGAAACCAGAAACAAAAACATGAACCAGAACTTTGTAGTAAAGACCCTTTTTTGGAGAGTCAGAAGTGGAAATGATGACAAATCTATAATTATTGCAGAAATGAATGTTTTTAATCGGATGTTAATAGATGGGTCAGCAGGAGGTTTGTTAACCTTAACTAGACTGTGGTGTCTAATAGTGAAAGTGGATGAGGCAGCCATGTCTCCAGTCTTTTTCCCAAAACGCCTTTTGTTTCTGAGCTTCACAGCAGCCACACAGGGACACAGTGGAGGCATTGATGTGTCTTCGCCCGGGTCGTCAGTCATGTCACCAGCTGCGCTGTCATGTGTTTATGACACACTAGGTACCAAATACCCACAAAGATTCTAGCTGTTCCCATGTTTGGTAATCATGTAGGGACGTAATTGCTGGCCTCTGAGATCAGTGTGTTTGTTTTTTAGTGAGAAGCTCTGGGATCCTGACCGGTCCAGATTGCTGTTCTCCTTCTTTATCGTTTAAAGAGCCTCACAGATGTATTCATACCTCTTTGAGTTTTCTGAATAAACCTAAATGAACTTATAAGTATATTACGTTGCGCACACATCCATGTGTAATTGTGAAGCAGAAGGAAAATTATGGTTTTCAATATTTGTTAGAAATAAGATGACAGTGTGGCGAGCATTTATATTCGGCTGGTCAGGGTCGATTCTTTATAGGACTACATTTTTTTTCCAGTCACAGCTTGAACTTTTTAGAGGTCTCTACCAGCTTTTTAGACAGAAACGTTCAGTCAGATTGGACAAAGAGCTTTTGTGGAGATTGTTTTTTATGTCTTGCTGCAGATTTTCAATTGAATTTAGGTCAAAGAATTTAACTAAGTCGTTCCTCTACATAGATATGCTTTGATCTGTCATCCAGTGGGGTTTTATCTAAGCAGGTTATTTCCATTTGTTTGCTGTGTCCCTAAATGGTCTGGGGACAACCTATGCATAGTAATTCTTGGGTTCCTTCATGCCACTCTTCTTTAAAGGACAGATTTGTGGAAGCTAATAGACAACAGATTATCCCTCCTGAGCTGAGATTTCTGTAACTCCTCCAAAGTAACTGTACACCAATTCACTGTACACTATTTCACTGTCACTGATCAATGCGCTCCCTCCTGTACTGTATGTTTTAGACAGATGGACATTTCTCAGCAGAGTTGCTGTTGTGCTAAAATCCTGTTTTGAACACTCCTCCAATAAACGTTAATGCCTTGAAATATGGTTTTATAACCCAACTCAAAAACTGTCCTCGTAATCTTTTTGTTCCTTTTCCTTATCCTCAGACCTTCTGAGGACAGCTGAGTTTACTCTTAGATTAAAAAACAAAAAAACATAGGTGAACATTTTTTTTTACTGGTTTGTGATAGTAAGACAACGAAAAAGATAAAAACTAATGGTCATAAATATTTTTGCATCTCACTGCACTCATTTACTTTCTTTTCTACCATAAAAGAACAATCCATAGAGTAACTTAACTCACCTAACAGACATTTTAAATGTTAAAGTATTATGCCATCAAATGAAATAGGTTAAAGAAAAAATGTGTCTATTGGTGAAAAGATATACGAAATGATTTAAAGCCGACCAGCCATTGATCCACTCATCAGTCCATCCACTTGTTGTTAAGTCTGCATAATAGCGTTGTCCAAAAAAAATCATTGTGAAATTGTTCAGAAAGGGCCTTTTTGTATGATTTAGTATATCAGCGACCAAATGATCTGGCATAAGTGACAGGAGTAGAGATGAGGAAACAGGATGGGATTCACGGTTGTGCAACATCCTCACTGCTCAGTCAGCACTGAACGTTAGGAGTAGCGGTAACATATGCATCCAGTAATGACCTCAGTGCATGTATGAAGGATTCTCTAATTGCTCCGGTTGCCTTCTTTAGAATAAAACCCTGTTGACCCGGCAGTAAGACAGACAGAAAAACAAACATATTCTCCTCGCCTGGAGAGATGTGAGCCCAGTGACCTGGAAATGATCAGAACTGTATTGAGCAGAAGTTTCCATTCTGATGAGCATGTGCACAGTGAATAGGGGTAATGCTTCAGTTCAGTTTATATACTGTTAGTTATCAGCTATTGTCCTGTTAGAGCACTTCAGAAAATAAGAAACACAGTTCCAGCTCATATGTAGTCGTACAGAATCTGACTGGTCCTCATTTAGGTTACATCCATTTGATTCATTCTAGTCATTCCAGATGCCTTCACGATCAGATCCCATTACATGCGGTTCAGTTCATGTCAAATATTGCAAGGTAAAGTCAGAGCTTGTTGATGCTTTTATGCAGATGAGTAAAAACTTCTTGTCTCTAGAAGCCCATTAGGTAGGAGGACAGAAAGCCCTATTGACCAATATTAACTCTTGGACAGACTCCATCCAGGAAAGAGACACAGTTAAACCCAACGACACTGAGCCAGTGGTACTTTCTATGTTCAGAAAAAAGAAAGTTCAAAAAGTTCATAATAAGAACGATTTTGCAATGGTTTCTATCAGAGGAACCAGGTATTGGTATCCTTTATGTAAAATAACTAAACATAAAACCCAGTAAGCTAACTAAATGTTTAGATCTAATGTTTCCGTCAAAAAGAAGGGATTGATTTGTGAATATTATACTGTAGTTTTTGTTTTCTGAAATGAAATATCTGTTTGATTTTGGCTGACAGGGACTTTTTACCCCGGGGATCTGGCATCGTCACCCGCCGTCCTCTCATCCTCCAGCTGGTTAACAGCAAAGCAGGTAAAGCTTTGTCATTTCACAAAACTTTAGATTTACCTCCTTCCTGATTTACCATTTAAATCCTGAATATATCATTTCATTGGTTTAACACTCCTTTGAACTGCTTGCTTTATATTTTGAGCTGTTTTCAACTAAGCAGGGAAATTCTTTTCATCTGGAGCCTGGAAGCAGTGAATAATCAGATTTATTGTTTTATTTTCTAACCATAAAACAACATTGGCATCTTAGGCTTTATTATTTTGATAATACTTGCCTTTGTAGGGGTGTCAAATTTTGATCCTATTTGACCCAAATTTATAAAAACATCCGAGAGGTTTTAAATTTAATATGTCAAAATATCTTGTTTCTTTGTTCTTATTTAAAAATTTTTGCATTTGTTATTAAATAATTTTTTTTCCATATATGTTTAAGTTGTTTTTTTAATGCAGCATTTCTTTTAGTAAGCTTTAATTTCTATTGTACATATTTTTATTTGGTATGATATCCTCTTTTTAAAACAAAATTAAAAGAATATATATTTGAGGCTTTCCAATGTCCTTCAAGAACAATAGATTTTTTTTTTATTAAACCTATTATAACATAAAAATTGACCAAAGTATTATTGATCATGGAACAGTCCTAAATAAGTGAGTTATTTCTAAAGATATTTAGAAACATTTCGGATTTTTAGGAAACTTTTTCTTCTTTTTCCTTTATGTAAGGTTTTAAAAAGTGAGATATTTTTAAAGTGGTCAGCTCAGGTTTCATTTGGATTTACATGCACGGGGATCGTCTGGCTGAAAAGGAAGATGAAATAAACTGATTTTTTTTTTTTTACTGATTTTCCCATGCCAGCTGTTCTAAATATCTTCCTCTGTTTTTCATTTAAGTTTATTTTCTATCGGTCATTCACATTTATGCTCACCACCTTATTTTTTCAGAGTATGCAGAGTTCCTTCACTGTAAGGGACGCAAGTTTGTGGACTTTGAGGAGGTCCGTATGGAGATTGAAGCAGAGACGGACCGGCTCACCGGATCCAACAAAGGGATCTCCTCCATCCCCATAAACCTCCGTGTCTACTCCCCTAACGGTACTACAGCCACTCATTAAATCAGCTGTTTGGTTTCGTTGGACTCCCTCTGATTGGTTTCATTCTCCATTTCTTCTCTCCTTTTCCTCAGTGTTGAACCTGACCCTAATCGACCTGCCTGGGATGACCAAAGTGGCCGTAGGTGACCAGCCTGTGGACATCGAGCACCAGATCAGAGACATGCTGCTGCAGTTCATCACCAAGGAGAGCTGCCTCATCCTGGCCGTCACTCCAGCCAACACCGACCTGGCTAACTCTGATGCTCTCAAGATCGCCAAGGAGGTGGACCCCCAGGGTGAGGGGGTCCTTTCGTGAAATAAAAGCCGTAACTTGTTTTAGTACTGAAGAAAATGAATGAGTTTCTGAGTTCCTCCCTTCCTCTCTTCTCTTTGCCTCACTAATGAAGCTGGAGTGTCATTTCCATTAACAGTTGAATTATTAAAAGATTTTCCAGGCAGCAAAGAGGAAGCAGTTATTGGTAAAATTAGTTAATGATCTGCGTTTTTATCTCTCTTTCTTTCAAGCACTTTTATCAATTTAAATGTTTATCAAAGGATCAGCAGTATGTCGTTTGCATCCTGATCACATGCTTAAAGCTAAAATGAGCTCTAGGTGTGAATTATAGGACCAACATTGTGCTCCTTTTGTTTTTAGGGCTGAGAACCATCGGGGTGATCACAAAGCTGGACCTGATGGATGAGGGGACGGATGCACGAGACATCCTGGAAAACAAACTGCTGCCACTTCGCAGAGGTAACACAGCACACATGGGATTCTCTCTCCAAACCGTCACAGGATGATAAATGGTTTCTCTGAGAAAAAATAGTTGTTTCATAAGAAAACAAAGTTATTTGACTTGTGTTTATTTATCATTAAACGTTGGTGAAAAGCCTATAGGGTATAATCTATAAGCCTGATGCATTATAGCTGTTTACAATCTTAACCGTCTCCAAAATCTTTCACTGTTATGATTCCTAGGTAGAAATAATGATATGACCCAATTATCTGAATAATAGCAGCTTTTGCAACTTCAGATAATGATATAGTTATCCAATATTACAACAACAACCAGGCTAAGGTTTAATGGCCTTGTGTTGTTCAGATAAAGTAAAAAAAAAACAACAACTAATATAATCAAAATAGTAGCCTTTTTACAGTATTATCTCAGCCTGAGTTCCCCTGTCTCCTGTATGTTGCCCCGGCAACACTAAGGGGCTGGTGTACTTTATCCTCTCAATTAATCCTCTGTTCCCCTTTTAAAAGATTTATTGGCCTATATTACCAGAAGTAAAACTACTAAATGTTAACAAAAGGTTGATCCAGACAGGGACCGCAGAAACTAGTGAGAACAACAGACGTGACTTCAGAAGGACAGTTAATCACTAAAGAAATATACGATACTAAATTACCAGAAGGTCAGAAACTGGACTGATCTGCTGCATTTAAAGATACACAATTCTTGTTTACTCTTTAACATAAGACCTTTTTTGTTTGAAATCGTTTTCATTCTCAACAGATGCTAAATTAAATGACCGTATACTTGGTTTTGCCCTGGTTATATTTTTCTGGTTATGTTTATTGAAAAAAGTTTCTAAATCTGATTTTTTGAGTTTCCATATCAACTTTTTTGTGTCATGACAAACCCCACATTTTTTTAGTTTTACTGACAAAAAAAAAAGAACTACCTCAACAAAACACTTTTTGTAATCACAGTCAGTTAATCATATAATCCTACACACAGCTCTGAGCTGCTGCTTACCTTGAATATTCATCCATTTATCAAATATATTTTAGCAACTGGCTAGTGATTAATTCATATGCAGGCTGTTAAAACTTTAACAAACTTTGTGGGGCAATAATTCTTTCATCTTCTACTCCTTTAATTTTTTTCACCTTAGCGATTTTTGTGAAATTCAAACATTTCACCTAAAGTGATTTCCCAAATAGCTACTTTTACTCTTAGCATTCTTTTTGAATACACACCCAGATTTTTGAGTTTGATAGACCTGTGTGAGAGCTGGTCAATCATCTGCTTCCATTTAGTTTTGAACTGAAGTAGATATGAAATGTCTTTCATGTTAATTTGATTGTATTGTCCTAATACATTTTTTTTTCTATAAAACTCTTTCATTTTGATTTTAAGCAGATATGGTAAATTTTACTTGTGAGTTAAATGTAAATTGCTCTGTGACTGTAAAAACTCTAAGGTTTCCTTATTTGTATTAATCATCAGGTTATATCGGGGTGGTTAACCGTAGCCAGAAGGACATAGATGGAAAGAAAGACATCCGTGCTGCTTTGGCTGCTGAGAGAAAGTTCTTTCTGTCGCATCCCGCATACCGACACATCGCAGAACGTATGGGGACCCCACACCTGCAGAAGACCCTAAATCAGGTCAGATCCTCTTCTGACATGAGCATGAAGGCATTACATTCTCTACGTCCCCCCCCCCACAAAATACAGTGCAGGTGTTAGAGTTGAGACAGAACAACAGCACCACCTGCTGTTTGGTTCTGTACCTGCTGTCAGTGTTGTTTTATCCTTAGTTTTGACTGCAGGGATGCGTTGGGTTAAAAACATTGTATGCTGTTAATTTGGAATGTTTGGAGAAGTTCACTTGTTAAAAATTATATTGTCATAAAATATAAGTCCCATTTCTTATATAAAATAATGAATTCTGAATTATCTTCAGAGCAAGGATCTAAATTTATGAAGAAAAAGGAGCAAAAGTTACATATTTGACCCATTTTGTTGGAGTGTGTGTGTGTGTGTGTGTGGGGGGGGGGGGGGGGGGGGGGTTCTTCAAACTCTATATGCATTTTTATAGTTTTAATTATCAAACATAACATTATATTGGTCTGTTCAAGGCTTTAAACTTCAGTCGCTAATATACAATACCCAAGTTAAATGATTCTCAATTTATTCATATCATCATGTGACAGTTTCACCATTGTTAGAAGCATTACCTCATAGCTATCCATCTTTCACACAGCCACTGGAAACAGAAATGTAGTTCAGTCCAACTGCAGGTGACCAGGAGATCAGGATATTTCCACGCCATGTGCTGGTCCTCATGGGAAATGTGGTCTTCCATCAGGCAAAACAATACAACTTTTTTCCTCTGAGGGGAGCCAAAATCGACCAGAACTCCTTTAATAAACTAACTCCAGAAGAATTTTTTTTGTTCCTTTGTTTTTTTTAATCTAGCACACGAAAATAGTGCCTGTAAATGTGAAATAACCATCTGTTCCACTGCTTCCTGTTCAGCAACTCACCAACCACATACGTGACACGTTGCCGGGGTTACGCAGCAAGCTGCAGAGCCAGATGCTGTCACTGGAGAAAGAAGTGGAGGAGTACAAGAACTTTCGGCCTGACGACCCGACACGCAAGACCAAGGCTCTGCTCCAGTTCGTATTTTTGTATCCTGACAGTTTGATATGAAAATAACATGTTCTAATCCAATAATTACACTCATTATATGGATCTACAGGATGGTGCAGCAGTTTGGTGTGGACTTTGAGAAATGTATTGAAGGGTCTGGAGACCAGGTGGACACCTCCAACCTGTCTGGTGGAGCAAAGATTAACCGAATCTTTCATGAACGCTTTCCCTTCGAGCTGGTGAAGGTAAGCTGCTGCTGATTGAGCTTTTGGAGCCTTAAGTTGGATGAAGAAGAAAAAGCTCTTTGAAATCAAATAAGCTTTTTGTCTTAGATGGAGTTTGATGAGAAAGAGCTACGGAAAGAAATCAGTTATGCCATCAAGAACATCCATGGAGTCAGGCAAGTTCAACCTCCAGCATGCCAAGAAACAAAAACCTCCTTTTCTTTACATTTCTACCGTTCTGTCTGTGCTCCATTTTATATGATTCTTTTTTTTTCAGTTTTCTTTTAACCTTTGGTCATTTTTTAAAACCTCATATCCAGAAATGTTTTTTTCTAGTGCAAACTCCATCATCCATCCATTTTCTGTCACGTTTATCCCAAGCAGGATTAATGGAAACTCAAAACTTGAAATTTGCTAATTTATTAGAAAATCTGTGTAAAAAAAAAAAATAAAAAAAATAAAATAAAATAAAGGGGAGTTTTAAGGAGTTAAATACCAACTTCATTATATTTAGACATCTCAAATAAGTGTTAATGTAAAACAGGAAATTCCTACCATGATAAATTTCTACCTATTAGCCATTTTATCCCTTCCTAGTTTCTTTAGCTGCTTGTAACATTAGGTTGCCAAAAGGGGGCGCTGAGGCACAACCCTCTTTAAAGCTGCAGGGAAAAAAGGACAGATACAGTGGCCATACATTTTAAACATTAATTGTTAGATTGGTTCAGTCTGCACTGTCTCTGACTTTGGGGGTTTTAAAGTTTCTTTTCCATTTTTTGGTTCGTTTGTTGTTAGTTTTGTTGCTTGGGCTAAAAAAAAAACTGCTTTCTAAACAGAAAGGAGCGATGGCTGAATGATTATATACGTCTATTTTCAAAAGTTTGGCCACCATGTGACTACCTGCTGGTCTTAGAGATTCTCCTTGGGCAGAGAGCTGCACTGGTGTTTAGTGAGAGCTGTTTGTGACTTTCCTCAACTGAAATTAATCCAGGATACCATTTGGTCAAATTTACTGTTATCTACTCAGAGCACAAAGACACTGGCAGGAATGTCCCTCAAACATCAGGCTCATGCTGCAGCCTGAAGTGACCCAAATCTGATTTTTTTTGGCCCAATGCGACCTGGATCTGATCATTTCATGGCTGTTTGAACAACACAGATACGATTTTTTCCAATCCGACCCAGGCCACTTGCCTATCCGATCGGGCTTGATTATCAAAGACTTTCTTACTAAGTTTGATTCTGGATGCTTCAGATACTTGTTGATTTCTTCTAGATAAAGTTTACTTTAGGACAAATTTAAGAAGAAAATGCCTCTTTAATAAGTGGGTCCCATTGTCCTGAAGGCAATATTTTCACTTCATTAAATATGACTGTACAGAGGTGAAGTAGTTAAAGCCTCAACTAGATTCTCTTGACACATAAGATAAAGCTTAACAGATGAAAAACACACATGTGGGCCCTCTTCTGGATGAAATTTATTGTTTTCGATGAAGATACTGTACTCCTAAAGGCTGGTTTATACTCAGAAACCAGGTCATCTGCATGTGTGTCGCAGTGAACGCAGATGTGCCTCCGTCCCTTCCGCAGAAACTCTGCTGCACCTCTCCAAAATTGTAGGTGACTGCAGACAGGAGGCCACTGGTTGGTCAAATCTAAATCCGCTCAACACTATGCGTATTTCCTGTTTGCTATTTCACTGGATTGTTTTGTTTGTATGGCCTCCATTGTGCAAAACGACTCGTAACGTTGGACCAACTAGAAGAGCCCGGCGCGTTGGGACCCTTTTTCCACCTGGTTCGTCTTCCCCCACTTCCTCACCGCCTCGCCCGTATCTAGACCCACAGCCAGTTCCAGATTGTCCCTCTTGCGTTGTGAGGTGGAATAACAGAGTGCAGACCACGCTTTAATATTGGGCATAAATTAAAAATATCTGCAACACGCTCACTGCGGCACACTGCTGCGGGGAGTAAAACCAGCCCTTTAGATTTCCCAAACTAGGCTCTGATATTTGCACTCTCACATTTCAGGATTAACCACGTACATCGCATTACTACTGCTGATTATAATGTAAACAAAATGTCCAGATAAAAAAAAAAAAGCTTTTCTGGAAATGAGGTTTTAACCCTCTAAAAACCTGTCTGCCACATGGTTGCTTGAATCCAGGTTCTCCTTCTCCTCCTCATTATTATTTGTCTCACAGTGTCTGTCCGCTCATGTCTTCCTGGTCTGTGGTTTTTATTTTCTGCATATGTGTCCATGTATCTTATGTGTATGTCCTTCAGGACAGGCCTGTTCACTCCAGACATGGCGTTTGAAGCCATAGTGAAAAAGCAGATCATTAAACTGAAAGAGCCCTGTCTGAAATGCATCGACCTGGTCATCCAGGAGCTCATCAACACAGTCAGACAGTGCACTAATAAGGTATCACTGCATGGCCGCCTGTCAGACTGTCATGCCAGTGCATAGCTAGTGCAGCCAGGAGCTACACCAGTCAAATACTATTGTGTGAGGGGTTTATTTTGTATTTTTGGATGTTGTTTTTCTTGGATTGGAAACACCTGCTGAAAAATGCAGGATGTATCAACTTTAAGCCTTGAGATGTCTGTTAGCTTTTTAGTTCAAGGTTTCCGTAGTTTATTTTAGCTTGATTTTTCACGTAACTTCTAAACCGTTCCATAATATTTGCTGGTCTTAATCTGACTGTAAAATTTCAGCCTCATTCAACTTCTATGGCGCAGATTAACTTATTATCAGTGGAAGGTTCTGTAAAAACACCCAACTTTGCTGTAGAAAAAAAAAGGCCATAGTATGGTTGAAAATCTTCCAAAAAGACTCATGACCACCTCTGTCACTGGTCAAACAAAGCAGGGTTTGAACCTTTAAGCTGCAAAAGGGATGAAAATAAGATGGAGAAGAATCACTGAACCTACAATTTGAGACAGGAAATCTGCTTTTATTGAGCAGGGGTTCAACAATCTAAACAAGCCTTTTACCTCAAACAATTATTATTGATCTTACATTGCTTTTTGTGTCTCTACTTCTGTCTCCTTGAACTCCAGTCGGCCTCGGCAGATGGCCGCTCACACTGAGCCTGGTTCTGCTGGAGGTTTCTTCCTGTTAAAAGGGAGTTTTTCCTCTCCACTGTCGCTACAAGCATGCTTAGTGTGAGGGATTGTATTTGAGTCAATGAGTCAATGCAATCAACTGGTTTCCTTAGATAGAAAACTTTGTATCAATTTGACTGTATGATCTGGTTGAACTGTAAAGTGCCTTGAGATGACATGTGTTGTGAATTTGGCGCTATAGAAATAAACTGAATTGAATTGAACATTGGAGAAATTTACCTCTGCATTTAACCCATTCCCTTGGGGAGCAGTGGGCTGCCATCATGGGGTGGCCGGGGAGCAGTGTGAAGTTAAGGGTCTTGTTCAGAGACCCAGAGTGGCAGTCTGTGGGTTCTTTCCAACCAGGCAATAGCACACCAGACTCCAGTCATCTCATCAAGTCATCATGTTCAGACTGGACTCACTTGATGAGATGACTGCAGTCTGCTCTGCTATTGCTTGGTTGGAAAGAAAACCTGCAGCCACACGGCCCTTTCTGGAACCAGTTCGATACCCCTGCTTTAGAGCATGTAAAAAGAATTTCATGTTCAGTGGTCCAAATCGGATTCTAGATAAAGTCAGAGATCTCCAACATTGACAATGACAATGATAAGCAAACTGATTGTATTTAAAGTGGCTGCTACTGACAAACAAAAGGACTCAGTGTGATTTGGAATCACAATTTTAAGCACTAAGCTTGACTGGGGACCATAATGTGCAAAATCAGTTTATCTTTTCATTTCTTAAAAAACAAGTTGTCTTTTTATAACAGGAAAAAAACAAACAAAATGAATACATAAATTAAATACTGAAATGAGATCAAACTTATAGATAATTAGAGATAAACTAGTGTGGAGAATATCTGTCTCCTGCATAAACATAGAGACCTATAATTATTTTCCCAAATTTTATTTATTTTTTTCCTGTAATTTTGTTTGTTTCCTGACCTCAAGCGACCTCCTGATCTTTCATGTTCTTAATGTTTGCCATTTAAGCAGTCCAATAAAGAAATAACCCCAATCTTAAATTTCCCCTTCAGTAACATGCAGCACAACGTTTGTATTAAATTAAAAGCATACATATTCCCTAGTTGAGGAGCAGCCATTTTTGCTGAATAAAAACTTAGTGTTTGCGTCACATCATGTTGATGCTAGATGAGAACATGGCCTTAGATCCTGCTGGGTGCTCAGCTTAAATTAATTTTTAATGCTCATCATAGATTTCACTTCATCAAAGGAAGTTTACAGCATTTAGATACAGAGAATGAGTTCATTCTGAAGGAATATTAATAAATATGGTTATGATGAGTTTATCAAGCCTGCCACTCTTAGTGATTCCTGATCTGGATGTTGGGAACTGACGCATTCAAAGAGAAACATTTTACCAGTCCTCACTTCTTCATTCAAGATAAATCCCTCCTGCTTGACACTGACGCCAAAATACTCCTAAACTTACTGCATCCTTCTTTTGTACGGTCCTCATTTTAACTCATTACAGTGAGAAAACTTACTGGCTGTCAGAAAATTACCTCAAGCTGGGTTTTTCAGTAGGAGTCACAGTTCTGTTGGACCATTCTGTCTGTGGAGGGGGTTATGCATCCTGGCTGGACTGCAGTGCACTGGAATGCTGCCTCTTAGATGCTGCGTGCGTAGAAGCAGATGTTTAAATGTTTCTGTGCAGGTTTATTGCAAAACAAGCTGCAGGGCTGACTTAGGATAGGCTTGAAAATAAAAACATATATATATACACAGCCATCTTGTTTTGGAGATTTGCTTTTCCTTTTAGTTTCATTAATTACTAGCTCTCTATATGTGGAGCACTGAGAAATATTTCAAATCACACAACGTCTTCTGTTTTCTTTTCAATGACACAAACTTCTTTTCTTTTTTTTTTATTTTCATAGGTAGCTGTTCTCAAAAACCACCCAAAGAACCTGCAGCTTGTTTTTGTCCTGAACACGCAGAGCTAACCTAATAACTGTTTTTATTTCTCTTCACATGCTTCAACTCTTTTTTTCCTGCACTATCCCACCCAACTATTTTTTTCCTACCATCACTTTCTTTTTTCCCCCCTCCCTTCTACTCTGTTTCATGCTATATATTGCCCTATTCCTTTTTCCCCCCTCCAATACTGGAACTCCAACTCTCATGATGCCTCACTACAGGACAGGTCTCTTCACCCCAGATTTGGCTTTTGAGGCCATAGTGAAAAAGCAGGTCATTAAGCTGAAAGACCCCTGTCTGAAATGCGTAGACCTGGTCGTCACCGAGCTTGTCACCCTGATCAGGAAGTGCTCGGAGAAGGTAAATGTGAACCATCGCAGGAACGAAAGTGAGACGCAGAGAGTCCAACTGACTAACCAGCCACTGTCGTTGTCACTGATCAGTTCCTTTCACCACTGCTTCAAGGCTTCACTCAACAACTGCTGCTGCGTCCCTCTTTGTTGACCCTCAATGATGAATCCAATAATGAACCCCCTTAAATGCAGCCCGTCACAACACTGATCAGTGTTTTAACAAGTCCTCACTCCCACAATTAGCCCACTGTCAAAAAAATCTCACAAACAAATTTAGAACCCCCCCCCCCCCCCCCCACTCACACAAACACACCCTCCTCAGTCCTCATGTCTTTCTGATCTCTCACCTTCCTCCTGATTCGTTGAGACTCACATCAGCTGAACGTGAACGTATTGGTGCATGCAGCTCACTCATATCTGTGTCTGAACCTTCTTTAAAACTCACTGTTGGGAGTTATGCAGGCACTTCCCTCAGCGTGTTCACAGCAGGTCTGCAGCCTGGGATTACAGTGCTTTGGAAAGTGTTCCAGACCCTTCAAGGGTCACCAATTTAGTCCAGTTACAAATGCAAACTTCAGTGCACTTTTTGGGGATTTTATTTGATAGAAAGACACAAAGTAAAGTATAATTATGAGGGGAAGAAATCTTTTTTTCAGATTGATTGACAAATGTAAAATGTGGAAAACACATTATGTAACCTGCTAAGATAGAACCATCCATCTGTCGGAGTAACAGTGCAGCAAGGAGAGCTTTAATCAGAGAGAAGACTGAGAGGTCTATGGTGCCTTTGGAAATGGTGCTGAGAAAGAAAAACCATTGGAGAAGGAAAGCCATAAAAGGGGGGGGCTCGAGTGCAAAGTGTAGCATAGCGGTTGATCTGTCTTCTCACATACTCCTAAAAGCATCTTTCTAATGTTTTTATGCCCAACCTTTGGAGTTTTTCCTTTCTTTTCTTTGTCTGATTATTGTGAATAAAGGCTAGTTTTGTCTAACATGAAAAACTAACGCTGGATGCACCATTTTTACCATAAAACATGGTGGCGGCAGCATTATGCCATGGGGGAAGGTTTCTTCAAGAGGGACGGGAAAAGTCAAAGTGGATGAGAAGATGGATTAAGATAATTTGGAGAGAAATCTGGAAGAAATCCTGAGGTTCACCTCCAACAGGATTAGGACTGCACAATTTTAAATGTATGGTGGAGGATTGTCGCAAATTTTTGATAAGGCCCGCCCTCTTCACTTTAAAAAAATGCACATGCACGTCCCTGTACCCACTCCCAAGAGGGAAAGCCTATTAAACGCGTGCAAGAACGTGTACGAGCCCATTTCTCCTCATTTTAGAGCAGTGCTGTGAAATTTCTCCAAATACCATGGCAAACTTTACCTGTCAAATAGAAACTTTGCTACCGAGGCATCAGTGGGAAGCCCAACCTGTGCTTTTGGTGGGACACCATTAATAATTTTCCTCCCACTTAGCCACATCTTTGTATTTTTTTATCAAATCCCCATAAAACACATTGAAGTTTGTTGTAATTTTACAAAATGTTCGGAAAAATAATAAAGTTCAAGGTATCTACTGACCTTTTTAAGGCACTGTAGAGGCTCCTCACAGTTAGTTACCTGTTGGCAGTTGGGCGGCCTGTATTTACTTGCATCAGTCTGCATTCTGCTTTGGGTTTTTGTGCTTTTCTTCACATGTGGGATGTTCACAGTTGGACTCATACCCTCGACTTAGAGAAGAGACAGAGAGAATTGTGACCACTCACATCCGAGAGAGAGACAACAAAACCAAAGAAAAGGTTTGTGTTTTCTTTAGCAGCACTGAGAGTTGTAGCATCTGGGAATAACACAGATTCACTTTAATTTGCAGATTCATCTAATGTGTCACACTTTGGCCCTCAGGTGCTGCTGCTGATTGACATCGAGCTCTCCTACATCAACACCAACCATGAGGACTTCATTGGATTTGCAAAGTAAGCTCTGGGTTGGTGCTTTGCTGCCAGTTAGGTTTTTCCCTCATCTATTAAGTAAAAAAAAACAATGTTAATTACAATAAGGGCTAAAAGATGTAAAAGTTAAAATAATGTTAGGATTACTCTTTCTCATCCATGCATGTGCTTGTTGAATCCTAATATTACCTACCTGTTAGGTGTTAAGGCTAATGTTTTGAATGTTTAAGTACTAAGGTTTGGTTTTGAGGAATTTACAATAAGGCTAAATTAGTTTTAGACAACTACTGGAACGATGGTTGTTATATGTCCAAACAACTAGTCCATAATGCAAAGTAGAAGGAAAAATAAAACTATTTTGATAAAAATATGTTTCAAAACGTATTTTTTGAACAAGAAATCAGCAACATTTAGTCGTAGTTATATCTAGACCGGGCAAAAAACCAGACTAGCAATGTTGTGATTGATGTTACATCTGGAATTAGCGGCTCAACTAGCTGCAAAGAACAGAGCAGCTATTTACCAACCTCTTCAAGTTTCATCACCAGCAGTAGAAATACCAACGTGTGTATGACTGTGATGGTGCAATGTATCAGAATATATAAAGACTGCAGACGGAACATAATGCATATAATGTGATCCTTATCTTATTTTGTTCTTATATCTTTTTTTACATTGTTTGTATGGGAAGGGTGTACTTTTACTATGTTGGTTGTAATTTTACAAATTTTATTTATTTTATTCTGTGTGATATAATGCTATATTTTATTTTTCTTTCTTCTGTAAACGGTTCCACTGCAAGAAAATAATTTCCCGCAAGGGATTAATAAAGTAATTCTAATTCAAACATTGGTTGAGATACAGTTTGAATCACAGATAGCCTCAGCTTCAGTTTAATCTAGGCCTGTAATGTCTATAGACATAAATAAACAGCATAATTTTGTGACTTGAGGTTACACTGCACATGCAGTACTTGAGTTATAAATCTTAAAAATGCACAAAAATAAAGTATAGCCATCTGCCAGTCACGCTCTGTTAGGATCAGGGGACTATTATTATAAATAAGTATTCATACTTTCAGTAACTTGGAGTACAAACACCAAATTGCAATAAATGAAAAAGATCAAGTTAGTTAAATAGTTTGAGTGTAGAATAACACCAAATATTGTGAGGTGGTTTAGAAAAAAATGATTATGCTGTTGATGCACTAGGAAGGCAAGGCAGGTTTATTTGTATAGCACAATTCAATACAGCGATTATTCAGTAAAAGCAAGTAAAGCTAAAAAAGAAATGCTAAAAGCAGGTAGTAACGCAATTAACCAGGCAATGATGTTAAACTCTAGTGATGTTTGCTTTACTGTGTAATGTTTAGATGTTTTTTGTGGAGTCTTTAGACTTGTGTGTGAAAATAATGTGAATCCAGTAAATGTCTCTTTGTTTTTAAACTATTGAATGTCTCTCCTGCAGTGCCCAGCAGAGGACGGCTGCTAACACCACCAAGAAGAGAGCCATGCCTAACCAGGTGAACAGACTCACTGTGTTTGCTGCCTTCACATCATTACAGTTAATTACTTCTGCTCTTATTGTTGATATCTCAATACTGTTATCTGGGCCCCCATTGGTTCTTCCTTCCTTTTTTCCCCCTTTTTTACCACTAATGGTAAGGTTCTTGTAAGCACCTTGCCCTACGGTTCCTCTTTAGGTAGGTGGGGGAGTCACTGTTTACACGGGCCGTGAATGACGATAAATGTTTTTTTTTTTTTTGCTGTGACACAGAGAAGAGGGAAGTGAGAATCTGACAGATTTATGAGAACTCACAAGTTAGATTTTAGTGTCAACAAGTGACATCACAGCTTCTCCGTGATGCTATTTTGGGTTTACTGTTTTAAGGATGTGGATGTGTTTCTATTTTTAGAAGATTAACGAAATAGGAGGGGATACGGGCGAGCTATGAAAAATTCTTGCTGATTTACAAGCAGCAGGACATGGGATTTCCCGGTAAAGCAACATTTGATGAAATTCTGACCAATCATGAGGTTGGAGAAATTTTCCTCTGATCCGTATAAAAAAAAAAAGCTAAAAATAAACCATTTTTTTATTTTACAGTTTAGATTCCTGTGGTTAATGTTTTATTGAAGAAGCATATAGACATTTTCCAACTCTGGAACCCAACTATAGCAGAACAGCTACCGCACTGGCAAAAAAAACTGGAAAACTTCTTAAATTAAGTGTATTTATCCTTAATTTTTGCAGGTAATTGAGATAGTTTGCCAATGGAATGAGCATTTTTACTCTTAAAATAAGACAATTAGATAAAATGCATTTGAAATAAGACAATGCAATTGTGTTTTCTTCTTTTAAGTGTAAATTTTCTCGTTCCATTGGCAAAATGTCTTTTTTACCTCCTAAATCCAAGAAAAAATTACTTATCTAGATTTCGATTTTATCCAGTGTGGCAAACTGATAAACGGCCTGCAAATGAAATATAATTCTTCTTTTTTTTCCATTTCAATACATACTCTTCAAGTTCACATATTAAAATAGAAACAACAGCAAATAGAAAGGATACAAATTGAAAGTATAACATAGGAGTAGCAGACTCAGAGCAAAACATTAAAAGCTGAAACAACCATCCATTCTTTCAAAGGTATGTTTAAATTGTATGATTTAAATGAAGCTGTACAGATTCAGCTCCTGTTGTAGTTTATTCATAATTTCCTTGTTATTTCACCTCTCTGAGGCACAGATCTGTCGCAGTATTTGGCAAGATTGCAGAGATTCTCTCGGGATACAGAGAAATGGGGAGCTGAAGCAGCCAATACAGTCTCTTTTTCCCTGTTCTTTTAACCCCAATGGTTAGGGTAACACAGCTTTATTAAATCAACAGAACCATGTCTATAGCCTACAACATTTTTACAGTCCTTGTTCGTGGAAATCAGCTGATTATTTAAAATGTTCTGAGTAAATATGAGCACACAGCTTGAAGGCTAAGTATTTGAGATCCTGAAAGAATAACTCTTGATCAGATCTGGATATCTGTAGGAATAATTGTTCTGGATTTTAATGATCAAGCTTGACGTATTGCTGCCGCAGATATAAAATTATATAAAAAATATATATATAAAATGAGGATAATCCACTTGCACAGAAACATCTCTACTGCTCTGTGAAGACTCAAGCAGAAGTTTTTAATGTTTTCAGTACTTTGTTCCATCCTCCATATTATGTTATCACAGATCCTTCCTCCAAGCAGCTGTAAGACTTTATAACCACCACTGTTCCCAACAACATCAATAAGTTGTTACATTCCTGCTGATTTTGCAGTTTCCTCATTAGTCAGTTAAATAACATGCTGCTGTCATTTTGCACATGTCTGATGTTTCTGCTATTTTTTAAATATCCATTACTGTAAAAATGTCCATAGCTGTATATTGGTTATTTATTCTCCAGATTCACAGTTTTATATTGTTAAAATACTTTACAGTACAGTGTTTTATTGTTTTTCTTTTATTTTTATAAATTTTTCTAAGGTCCATGTTTGTGTGACCATTTTCTCTTTTATCTCGTTGCTGTTGTAAACACCAAAATGTCCCCATTGTGGGACATTAAAAGGATTTTGTATTCTATTCTAATTATGGCCTACTTGGTTTTGAAGAAAATTATCGTTCCTTAATTTAGATACCGTCACTGGAAATATGGCTTAAATGATGTGCTTTTTTTATTTTAATGATAATAGGTCTTCACTTCCAAAATAAAAAGTTTATATTGAAGGCTTCCAGCATTCTGCGTCGTCTCTAAGGATGTGTGTTAAACTGTGAAGTGGTTCTGTGGACTCTTCAGGTGATCCGCAGAGGCTGGCTCACCATCAACATCAGCATCATGAAGGGCGGCTCCAAAGACTACTGGTTTGTCCTGACCGCCGAGTCTCTCTCCTGGTATAAAGATGAGGAGGTAGACCTGCATAAACAAAAGGAAATCATGGCTTAACTACGAGCTTTTCCCCCTATATTTCCAGGTATGCATTGATATATTTTACCATTTGATGTTTCTTTAGGAAAAAGAGAAGAAGTTCATGCTGCCTCTCGACAATCTGAAACTCAGAGACCTGGAAAAAGGCTTCATGTCCAGCAAGCACGTCTTTGCTATTTTTAACACAGAACAAAGGTGCCGACACCTCGATCCACTAACGCATCCTTGTTTCCTGACTCCTTGCAATCTTGCTCTTGTTCACTTTAACGGTTCTATTCCCTCACAGGAACGTATATAAAGACCTGCGTCAGATCGAGCTGGCCTGCGACACTCAGGAGGACGTGGATAGCTGGAAGGCCTCCTTCCTCAGGGCTGGTGTTTACCCAGAGAAGGACCAGGTGCAGCAGACTGTAGATCAGCCCCAATAATGATATTTAATTATAGATAAGAGCCTTTTCCTGGTATGAAACACTTCATGTCTGATTCTGGTGTCCTACAGCAACAGAGCGAGGACGCTATGAGTTCTTCGGACACGGTGTCCATGGATCCACAGCTGGAGCGCCAGGTAGAGACCATCCGTAACCTGGTGGACTCCTACATCAGCATCGTCAACAAATCCATCAGGGATCTCATGCCCAAGACCATCATGCACCTCATGATCAACAACGTATGTCTTCTTTTAAAGCAGAAACCACTACAAAGTTGGATGTTTCTGCCTAAATAGAATATGCTGGGATCTAATTGCAATGTGAAAAAGATTAAGTTACATTTAGTAAATAATTTATCACAACGTAGACATTTTTCTTCCCTTCCTTTTTTAGACGAAGGACTTCATCCACTCTGAGCTGCTGGCCTATCTGTACTCATGTGGAGACCAGGGCAGTTTGATGGAGGAGTCTGCTGAGCAGGCCCAGAGGAGGGATGAGATGCTGAGGATGTATCACGCTCTGAAAGAGGCGCTGGTCATCATCGGAGACATCAGCACCACCACCATCTCTACGCCAATGCCTCCGCCTGTAGACGACACTTGGATCGCCAAAGAACCGAGGTGAAAAATATTAGTTAAACAAATGTTTGTTAATATGACAGAACACATTTTGTTTTTTTTCCTGTGATGGGGTCTCAAACTACTTTATAGTCAGTGCTACGACTACCCATTAGGTGATTATTGAGAATAAACAAACCAGAATAAAAACATTTAAATTAAACAGGTATTCATGAACATTTGTCTCTGTTCAAGGATGTTTTTTTTTATCCATCTGGTTGAAGTAGATAAGATACAGTTGGTTTTGAAATGTTTGTTAAACTATTGTTAATATTGATATAAGATAGGTCTGATTAAATATTCAAAAGTTTGTTCAATGTTTTATATATTCTTATCAGTTTATCAGCTTTTTTATCATTAATCGGAAAATTTATTGTGTTATTATGATTGTTTGGAGGACAATTAAACAATAGAAAACAATAGAAAAGCACTTTTTTGTAACCTATAATGCCCACCAGGAGTCCCCAAAGAGCTGTCAGACATGAACCTAGCTTAAAAAAACATTTAAAGGTCTGTCTGTCTTTACACAGAGACTACTTTTCTTAAAGAAAATAAAGTTATGGTTTCCACTATCATCCTGTAAAGGGAAATTTGAGACATACAGGTTGAGAGGGATTTAGCTGTGCACTATTTGTTGCGGTATATTTCCAGATTTGTATTTATTAAAAGGTTTTATATACCATATAAATTCTATTAAAGCTTTTCTACTACATCAGATTGTCTAAAATGAACACAAATGTTAATCATTAGCGTTTGGCTCTTTGTTCCAGTCCACCGGCGTCCCGACCGCTCACATCGACCACAGTGCCCCCTAACCGCCCCCCAGCAGTGAGGGGATCCACTCCCGGTCCACCGCCTCTCAATCCTTCACCAGCGTTCGGGGCACCGCCTGTGCCCTCTCGACCGGGCCCCCAGGGGCCATACGATACCAATTCATCAGTGCCTCTCATTCCTTCAAGGCCTGCCCGTGTGCCTCCAGCTCTGCCCCCAGGAGTTCCCAGGTAGAACCTCAAACCCAGATACTCACACACCTGTTGAACCCACAGCCTAATGTGGGGCAGTGGTTTGGTTCTAGGTTAGTGTGGAATTAATCTCACATCCTGCTGAGTTATTGGGCAGTTAGAGGGTTGCTTGATTAACAGACCTTCCTCTGAAGACTTTATTTTTCATGACAGTTTCCTCATTATTTAGAGATAAAGTCCTTTAAAGCAGTTTTAGTTGTGCTCAAATGTGGATCTCACCATCCAAAAGTATTAATTTAGCTCACCCTGCAGCCTTTTACTCAGTGCTTGGATCTTCAGGGAAAATGTGTTTACTCAGTTTACAGCTGATTTATAACAGAGTTAAAAAACCCAAAATCATTTTCTCATTTACCAGGAAAATAATATTATTTCAAACTGTTGTTTTTCATTTTAACCAAACCAGAAAAAAGGCATTAGAAGTTCTGTCACCAGATTTAGAATTGCTGAGAAAAGACACAATATCCAAAGTGGAGGAAGTTTTACTTTGTGGTGAAATGAGAGGGCTGCCAACCAAGAAGAGCCTTCTGCTACGAGCCTGACACCTTAATATAGGCCAAAACCCATGGCTTCTTATTAGAATAAAACAGACGTCTTCTGGTTTTATGGTTAATAGTGATTAGGATTGAGCTCTTTGGCAACAGCGTCCTAAAGTATGTTTTGAAGAATGCAAGTGAGCCTTTCGGAGCTAAGAACACTGTAACAGCTGTTAAGCATGGTGGTGGTAGCATCATGATGTGGGGCTGTTTTCTGCTAGTGGATAGCACATCAACTGATGAAGATGGAGGACTACCTTCACCTCCTCATTCTTTAACTTCCTGTCAACTGAGCAGATGATAGAAACCTAGGACTCTGTTAAATGAATCATCAGTAGAATGACTCCAAACAGTGAAAAAAACTGCTTCAATGGAACCTGAAACAGGGTGACAATAGACTGGAAGGATCTCATTTAAAACCTGTGGAATAAAGGCTGATTTATACTTCGAAACCAGGTTCTCTGGGAAGATGTTGCAGTGAACAAAAAGACGTCCCCGCCCCCTCCGCAGACACTCCGCTGCACCTCTCCCAAATTGTGACTGCAGACAGGAGGCCGGCTTGTTTTGTTTTTATGACCGAAATTGCAGAAAAAAACTCTTGAAGTTGGACCAGCTAGAAGATCAAGGTGCGCGAGAACACTAGGCCCTTTTTTCATCTGGATCCCCGCTCTTTTTCACCCTCCTGTCCCTCCGTTGTCGGACTTAAACTCGCCCCCACTTCCTTATCGCCTCGGCTGTATCTAGACCCACAGTGTACACCGCAGACCACGCTTCAATATTGAGCATAAATCAAAAATGTCTGCGTCAAGCTTACTGCAACACACTACTGCAGGAGTATAACCAGCCCTTAAGTCAGTTCCACACCAGAAAACCAACCAACTTTAATCCACTTAAATCAGAGATTTTTATTTACAAGCTTCTTGATGATTTTTAAAATGTAGTTGTTTTTTAAAGGTTGCTACCAAATGTTGTTGAGGGGATACTTTTATATTAAAGCATTTATTGATTCACGCTGTGTACCATATTTAGTCTTTTTTAAATAATTGTAGTTGCATGTTGTAAGATTAATGCACACAAGGGTTTTTTATTAAAGACTGGCTCTCTGTTCAGATGTTATTTAATGTACACTTTCTTTATAAAAGTTCAGAGAAAATATCCCGCCTGGATTCAGAGAAAAGCAGATCAGGAGGTTGAAACGTTTCCCTAAATATTAATAACCATTCAGATAAGAATCCCGTCCGATTTGCATCTAGATTAGTATTACTTTGGTCCCTTCTGTCCAATATTTTATTTGCAAACTTCATAAAAGGAGATTTGATCCTGCTGAACAATCTTTTGATAAACAGCAGATCTCATTCCAGAGCACTGCTTAGTTAAAGACACAGGCGTCTGCAGATGTGCAGGAATGTGAGCTCTTTTCTGCTACAGAAGCGTTAATCCAGTCTTGGAATTAGAAATATTATGTTTTCGACTTCCTGTCTGCACCTACAGGGAGGCCAACAGTGGCCCTGTTACTATGGTAACAAGCACAGGAAACCCAGGATTGCAGCCTGCATTATAAGCAGCATTCATCACAACACAAAGTGTCTCTAATTCTGTGTAGCTGGGTGAGGGTTGTGCTGTTTGCTGTTTTTGAGGGATTTTCTGTGGCTTTTGGGAGACATTGCTGCATGACTTTATGAAAAAAATCCTTTCCTTGCATGTTTTCTACTCATCTTTACCTCTTTTCCTCTATTTTCTCCTGCAGCAGAAGACCCCCGGCTGCACCCAACAGACCCACTATCATTCGTCCATCAGAGCCTTCCCTGCTCGACTAGACTCTTTTATTTTTTGGGTTGCTTGTCTTCATTATCTGATCTCTCAGAAGCTCTCTACTCTTTTCTATCACTTACTAAAATTTTTTTCCTCTGTAATTACAGGCATTGCATTTTTTTAGGCCTTTTTTTGTAGAAAAAATTATTTTTTTTCTTTAACAATGACATGAAGTAATGAAAAAAAAAAGATTCTTAAGCAACCTATAAAAAATACATGTTAAAGCAGCACTTGATGTACAACGTTGGTTATACTCTGCAAAGGGAAGGTTTACATTTTTTGTGAGCTGTACACTTTGTAATGCTGATTTTTTTTTTACACACTAAGCACTTCAATAGACATTTATACCATTTAGTTTAATAATTTTCTCCAATGTGTTTCAATTATCCTGAGCGTTTGTTTGCTGAGCATTTGTTTTTTTTACAACCATACACTCCTGTTAAAGTAATTTTTTACTCCATCTGTGGAGCAAGAAAGCCTTAGTCAGAGAAGTAAAAGGGAAGTGCCGACTTTGTAATACTAATAACTACACAGATGTTGATGTAAGAACGTTGTATCCACAAAGCTTACCGTCAATGGAAAAGGTGTCGCAACATCTGTCAGATTTCATACAGTCACTTGTCACAAATAAAATCTATAGAGTGAAAATTCTGCTGGCTTGGTGCTTCTGGCTTCTTTTCACATATTCCCTTTTTTTTATTTTTTTTTATTTGTTTTCTTTATGCACAGCCCATAATAACATTTACAGGTGCTGGTCATAAAATTAGAATATCATGAAAAAGTAGATTGATTTCAGTAATTCCATTTAAAAAGTGAAACTTGTATATTATATTCATACATTACATACAAACTCATATATTTCAGATGTTTATTTTGTTTAATTTTGATGATTACAAATGACAACAAATGAAAATCTCAAATTCATCATATCAGAAAATTAGAATATTGTGAAAAGGTTCAAAATTGATGGCCCCTGGTGCCACACTCTAATCAGCTAATTAACTCAAACCACCTGCAAAAGCCTTTAAATGGTCTTTCAGTCTAGTTCTATAGGCTACACAATCATGGGGAAGACTGCTGACTTGACAGTTGTCCAAAAGACGACCATCGACACCTTGCACAAGGAGGGCAAGACACAAAAGGTCATCGCTAAAGAGGCTGGCTGTTCACAGAGCTCAGTGTCCAAGCACATTAATAGAGAGGCAAAGGGAAGGAAAAGATGTGGTCGAAAAAAGTGTACAAGCAAGAGAGATAACCGCACCCTGGAGAGGATTGTGAAACAAAACCTATTCAAAAATGTGGGGGAGATTCACAAAGAGTGGACTGCAGCTGGAGTGAGTGCTTCAAGAACCACCACACACAGACGTATGAAAGACATGGGTTTCTGCTGTCGCATTCCTTGTGTCAAGCCACTCTTGAACCACAGACAGCGTCAGAAGCGTCTTGCCTGGGCTAAAGAGAAACAGGACCAAAGTCATGTTCTCTGATGAAAGTAAATTTTGCATTTCCTTTGGAAATCAAGGTCCCAGAGTCTGGAGGAAAAGAAGAGAGGCACTTCATCCACGTTGCTTGAAGTCCAGTGTAAAGTTTCCACAGTCAGTGATGGTTTGGGGTGCCATGTCATCTGCTGGTGTTGGTCCATTGTGTTTTCTGAGGTCCAGGGTCAACGCAGCCACATACCAGGAAGTTTTAGAGCACTTCATGCTTCCTGCAGCTGACCAACTTTTTGGAGATGCAGATTTCATTTTCCAACAGGACTTGGCACCTGCACACAGTGCCAAAGCTATCAGTACCTGGTTGAAGGACCATGGTATCCCTGTTCTTAATTGGCCAGCAAACTCTCCTGACCTTAACCCCATAGAAAATCTATGGGGTATTGTGAAGAAGAAGATGCAATACACCAGACCCAAAAATTCAGAAGAGCTAAAAGCCACTATTAGAGCAACCTGGGCTATCATAACACCTGAGCAGTGCCACAGACTGATCGACTCCATGCCACGCCGCATTGCTGCAGTAATACAGGCCAAAGGAGGCCCAACTAAATACTGAGTGCTGTACATGCTCATACTTTTCATGTTCATACTTTTCAGTTGGCCAACATTTCTATAAATCCTTTGTTTTTATTGGTCTTCAGTAATATTCTAATTTTCTGATATGATGAATTTGAGATTTTCATTTGTTGTCATTTGTAATCATCAAAATTAAACAAAATAAACATCTGAAATATATGAGTTTGTATGTAATGTATGAATATAATATACAAGTTTCACTTTTTAAATGGAATTACTGAAATCAATCTACTTTTTCATGATATTCTAATTTTATGACCAGCACCTGTAGATTTGGATACTACTAACCAGCAGCTGGTTAGTAGTAGCTGAGGTCACTCTGGCTGATCCTCCTTTAAACTCCTAGACCTCAGCTGGTAAACAAGTGTTTCTTTGCTCTGACCCTGCAGTGTCTAAACATGCTCCTCAGGCTGTTTGGTATTTTTGCATATATGCTTATGCTTTACCTTCTAATTTGGTAGTTTATTTTAAATTTTGATTAAGACAGAAGGAAAAATTGTGGATGCAACGGTTCATCTAACTAATCTGAATGTTTGGGACAGACCATCTTCAGAAGGGCAGAGTTTAACAGATTGCTCTCATGTACCGCACTCAGGATGGTGGTACAATCCTCTGAGCATCATTGGTACAATCATTTTTTAACAGCTGAAATTGAGCGCATAAGATGAACATGTTTGGATGAATGTGAAGATACCTAAAAAAACAACAACCTTATCAAGCACTTCAGCACTTATAATGGAAACGGGTTGTAAGAATGTTCATTTGTTTGGATGTTTCTTAGAGTTATTATAACAAAGCATCAGGAGCGTTATGGGTTTTTCAATGAATTTGTGTTTTTTTTTTTTTTTTCAGCTATTTCATTTATTTTTATTTATTTATTTTTTTTGTATTTAGAGACTCAGTGAAGTTATCTATTTGTTGCAATGTGGTCTCCAGGAGAAAAAAATGGACTGACTTAGTAAGTGCCCCAAGTCTACAAGTTAAAAGCAATATGAGAAAAAACTCAAAATCCTTAGAGTGACTTCTGTCTCCAGGAACATTAAAACCTGGGGATCACTACACATCCAGTTGCAAACCTGTTTTATTAAACTGCGGTCTCTGCATTCGTCAAAGCCTCCATCATTTATTGTAGAAATCTAGAGCAATATTTTAAGATTTGGATGCACTGAACTGAACTAAGTTCAATAAAATCAAGTTTCCAAAACTGCTTCATATCTGTGGAAAACCTGTGAAAAGATATTCCCCCCAGGCCGATTATACTATCACACACAGTTTTTACACAGCCTTATATTATGAGGCTGGATAACTCATGTTAACCTGTTGCCTGTTGCAAATATGCGACAAGCATGTGTAAAAGAAAAAAAAAAAGTGTAGAAATTTCAATTTTGGCGATATATATATATTTTCATATATATATATGTATATATATATATACATATATATACATGTATGCGTGTATATATATATATGTATGTATATGTGTATGTATATGTATATATACGGTATGTATATGTATATGTGTATATATATATGTATATATGTATATATACGGTATGTATATGTGTATATGTATATGTGTATATGTATATGTGTATATATATATGTATATGTATATATGTATATATACGGTATGTATATGTGTATATGTATATGTGTATATATATATATGTGTATATATGTATATATACGGTATATGTATATGTGTATATGTATATGTATGTATATGTATATATATATGTATATATACGGTATGTATATGTGTGTATATATATATATATGTATATATATATATATTCGAGCATGGAGGAGTTAATCCAGGTAATCTAGAGAACCTGTATCTTTTTAGCTGGCTGGTATGCTCTCGGTTGATGTTGGTCCATTTTGAAAGTGATTTCCTCTTCATTCAATTTAAAAATACTTTATTGATTACAAAGGGATACTAACTGTCGTAATTCATAGGGTTTCCTTTTTTTCCCCATTGGCACACAAACTGTTTTGGTTTGTTCAGTGTAATCCTCACTTCATGGTTTAGTTTTAGAATCTGCCAACCGTTAATGAATAATTTCAGCTTTTACTATAGAACTTTAATCATATTGAAGCATTTTGGTGATTATCCCATCTGACTGTTAGTTTTCAGGGTTTGTTTTCCATCTAAAGGCTTTTGGATCCTTTTCTTCAATTACATTATTTCTCACTTTAATCAGAGTACGATCTTCTTTGATGTCTGAAACAGTTTTGAACCAACCTGCATGTGCATCACCCAGTGCCTTTAACCTCCAGAAAGCTCCAGCAGATAAGAATCTGGTTTATTAAATTGATCTGATATGATTTTATACTCAACCCTAACCAGAGGGTTAGAGAAGCACACAGCATTAATGTTTGCTTTACTACAGGATCAGAAACTAACTAGATGCATTTCTGTCCATGGCCCTCTCACACAGGCGACCCCCTCACGTTCCTTCTCGTCCAAACCCTACATGAAGAACCCTCCTCTGCAGCCACCATGGATCAGCAGCCGGACTCTGCTAGAAGCTATTGAAAGTTTATTACAAAGTATTGTTTGGTTAAATAACAATCTATTAAACAGAATGGCAAAATAAAGATGATTTCCGAATGATGAATTTAGAAATGCTGCTTTAGCTCTGTATCTATTGGAAGGATCCTTCCTGTCTCTAAATGGTATATATAATCTGAGTTAATCTGTCTTTGTCTCAATTGAATAAATGCTGCTCAGACACTTTGCTGCTTTGGCTCTTTATATCAATCAGGTGAGTATTACTTTATATGTCCTGCTTAGAAACTCAATAGTAAAGAGGCATGCTCTTGTAGAACATGAGAGAAAGGTGGGTCCCTTAGGACCAGGGCGAACAAGAAGGTTCTAAAAGATGAAAACCGATTCATTACTGAATTACTGTGTTGGCCACGTCGAGGACTAAGACATAGACTAAGGCATGGGCCTTGTGCACTAATCGCTGCATGCCCTACATATTCAATGTTAATGTTTTTCTATGTGTTCTTTGGACCTGTTCACTTCCTGTTTGGATTAACTGAGTGTGCAGCTGTTCAGAGGATCTCCATCTGAAGTTAAGTTATTTTCTCTGTGATATCTCTGTATCTAAGTAACTCTAACTGACTACTTTAAAACATAGCACCTTCTGCTGCACTTTTCTACTGAGCACTTGTCAGTTTCACACGGTTTTATTTCTGATAGCAAGGAGTAGCTAGCCTAGGCTAGCGCTAGCTTAGCATTGCTATGGCTTCTCTCTCTCCCTCCCTTGACTCTTTTCCAACTCTTCCTTCTTCCTCTCCTCTCTGCTGCTCTCTGTGTCAGATGTTCAGTTATTCCTCTGCCTCCTTTAGTGATAATGGGATGTGTAATAAGTGTAGTATTTTTGTAGCTTTGGAGGCGAGGGTGTCAGAGTTAGAATCCAGGCTTCAGGCTGTAGAACATCCAGGAGTTAAAGTAGGCCCCCCACGTAGCTGTCCTCCAAAAGTGCCTGAGCAGCCAGGCGATTGGGTAACTGTACGCAGAAAGCGTAGTCGTGGATCTCTGCCCACTGGTCACCACCAACCCGTTCACGTTT